AAAAAGAACCGAAAAAAAAGGAAAATATCGAATAGGAAAATGTAGAAGTGGAAAACATCGAAAACTTTTAAAGATGGCAGCAGCAAAATTCAGTGTCATATTTTAGCTTATAGCTTTCAATTTGCAACTCGATTGTTAAGAAAGCATCTGAATATTTGAAGTTTAGTACAATTGATCCAAAACGAACACGTCACTTTTGTGAACATATTTCAATGCAACTTGATGTAAGTACATCTGCACCTAAACAATCAACAAAAACAAAAGCTTTTCAAATGAGACTGGATACTTTGCATGACAGGTTTATCAAGAAACAAATCAACGCAAAGGAACTATTGTCAGTCTTATCATTGTTAATATGAAAGAAAAACAATAACATCTTATTATATTGCCAATATTCTGTTGTCTTTGTTATTTTAAATTAATAAAACATTGTATTTATCATGTATCACAAGAATATATTAATTATTTTGATATTTTCCTTTTAAGCCATTTACATTTTCGATGTTCTCCTTTTCGATATTTTTCTTTTTCCATTTTTTTCGGCATTTTCTTCTTTCGACGTTTTTCACTAAGACCTTTTTCTTCATCTTTTTATGTGTACTATTAGGATCTTGGTGAAAAACATCGAAAAGGAAGACGCTGAAAGTAGAAAGCATCGAAAAAATAATGATAAGAAAAAATGTCAAAGCGAAAAAATTTACATGTTAGAAGGAAACAACTCACTCAATACGAACATATTCGCTTCGAACATATAACTTTTCAGGTAAGTACTAAGGCATCCGTTGTATAAAGTCAGCAAAAATATAGAAGACTTTGAACTATGATTGACACTTTAAATATAAAAAGTTTAAAAAAGATATCAGTACAAAAGAACTCTTGGTCAGGCAAATATCATTAATTGGAAGAAAAACAAAACATGAGATATTAATCAAATCTCTCTTGCCTTTCTCGATATGAAATGACAAAAGATCAGTAATTTATATTATCATGCAAGAGAAAGAATGTAGCATTTTCTACGTTATCCTTTTTTGTATTACCTTTTAGACATTTTCCTTCCCGAAATTTTTTTGCTTTGCCATTCTTCTTTTCGATGTTTTCCACCAATCTCATTGTTAGAATCTGATTGCAATCAATCATAACAAACAAAAACATAAAAATATTTTGGTTTTGCATCAGTTCAATTTTATTCGTTTATTAAAATCTTACTCATCAATTTTGACCGAATCAAGCCAATAATTAATTAAAAAACTTATACATATAATGAATCAGTCTGTATCGATAGAAATACGTCAGACGTTCTTTTAACAGATATGATAACAACAAGTCAAATGTCTATGGAGCAGATGTTTAGAAATAGGTTTTTTTTAACTGTCATTTTCTGATATTGAATTGAAAGCGTGTACAGTAAAACCTAACGGTAATTCACTAACACGTTCACCTTTCAATTTAATACATAATAAACCCTGTTGTGTTGGTATACGAACAGTTCGATTTGAACCAACTGGAGCATTACTTATATTCGCCGTTGATGAAAAACCCGATACAGCAAAACCTTTACGTTCAGCCGTAGGTATTTCTGATGTAAAACAATATTTAAATTTGCCTTTTTTATCAAGAATTGATGCAAGATTTTGTTCACAATCAAGTATAATAACGTCTGTATTAGGTAAAACAGCTACACTGCATGTTGGTTTAAGTAAACGACGAACACGACGTGATAATTTATTACTTTGTTCATACATGTTGCTGTTTGTATCAGAAGATATAGTTGCAGGTGTAGAAGAAGATGTTTCTAACGTAGTAGGAGAAACAGAATCGTTTCCTTCAATAGGTACGGGTGATATTGAAAGATTACCATTTTCAAAATGAAGTTCATTAGGTGAAAGTGGTATATCCATTGTCTAAATATAGAAGATTGAAAGTAAACTTATACATCTGTTACTATGAAAAATCCGAATAATTTAAATTAGAAAGACTTTAGAAAAAAATTTCACATACTGAAAATATTAATAATTCTATAGAAAATACAAAAAAATTAGAACAGAATTTTATTGAATTAATAAATCTTACTGGAAACATACGAAGCATTATATCGTAAATATAGCCTTCTCAACGTGTTGGACTTTTCTCATAATTAAAATAATTACTTTTAAAACGAGGGCTGAATCAAACCGAGTTTTACTACTGTTTCGAGTTCGATTCGACCACATTTTTCAAAGAGTGATTCTTCTTTTTTTTTATCTCTGTTTTAAAATTCTATTATTAATGATTCTCTCAGAAAAGAATCGATCTTTTTTAATTGATTTATACATTCCAATGTGCAGAATAGCTAAAATTCTTTCGATAAGATAAATAATAGATAACAGAATTAAAGCATATCAGGCCATATCAATCATTTTTCCTTGAATATAGAGTTAAAATATATATTTTTTTTAACCTGTACAGCTTGTGTTGTTGTTGATAAATCTTCTGTTTGAATGCCTATTGAAACAAATGTTTTGCTTGGTTCTGAATGAATATTTGTATTGTTAACGTCATGTTTTATTTTCTTTTCATCATTATCTTCATTATTGGCTTCCTCTTCTTCTTCTTCTAAAACCACATCATGTTCTTGTTGTTGTTGCTGTTGCTGTTGCTGTTGCTGTTGTCGTTGTTGTTGTTCTTCTTCTTCTTCATCTTCTAATTCACCTTCACGTTCATCATCATCCACTGGTGTCATTTCACATATTTTTAATATACCCAAATTTAATTGTCCAGGTTGAAAATCAATTCTCATACAAATATTTTCCGGTAATGGATCAAGTTCAACAGTATCAAGTTCATGAAATTTTTCCAGTAATTGTTTTTTAACTAATAATAATTCAATATCTTTTCCATCAATAACAAGTTCTGTTAATGAACATGTATTTTTAATTTGTTCAAAATATTCATCTAATTCTTCACGACGTTTTATAAATTCATTTGTTTCATCACCATATAATTCAGTTATTTGTTGTATAAGTTCTTGTTCTTTTATACGTAAAGATTTTTCAAATGTACTTGCTAATGAATGTATACTTGATTCAATTTGTGCTATATTAGCATCACAACGACGTATAATATTTAAATATGCTTCTAATTCACTCATACGTGTTTTACAACCAGCAAGACAATCATGTATATATGCTTTATGATTAGCAGCAGCTGAACGAAAATCTGATAATTCATGATCACGATGATCAGAATATGTACAAGCAACACAAATACATGTTTCACATTGTTCACAATAATAACGAACAAATTCAGTTATATGATGCTTTAAAATAAAAAAGAAAGAAAAATATTTTCTGTTTTTTGTTAATTTAATTTTTGTTTTTTTTTTACTTTGCATAAAATATCTTTTTCAATTTCTAATTCATATATTGAATGATGACGTGTAACTGTTATTGTTTGATGTGCTTGTACACAATGACGACATAGAAATTTTTGACATTCAAGACATCTTGATGTTGCTTCACGTTCACGATCATGAACAGCTTTACATATTTCACAATTTGTTAAAACTTTTGTTGAACCATTTGGTCCTAAATTTTTTTGAGTTATCATTTCTGATAAACCAGCTATAAGAAAATTGTCTGGCAATTTTTGTACACCACCTGATGGAATAGCAGTCTTTTTTCGACATATTGGACATGCAAATTCACGATAATCAGAATATTTATATGATCTAAATAGATTAAATAGTTTTTTAGAAGTTAAATTTTATATATATATATATATATAATTATTTCACTAAAATAATTCATTTTATATTATTGATTAAAGATCAATAAGGTCAAAGAATAAATAGGATAGAAGTTATTAATGAAATTACTCTGACAACGATTGTTAATATATTCT